GATGTACTAAAAGCCAGAGAGAGGACCATGATTTCCAGCAATGAAGTTGGCATCCCTCCCATTTTGTATCCCTCCTAGCCCTTCCATCCCCGCCCCTCTGTCTTTGGAGGTCTCTGCAGAACAACCAGGTCCTGAGAGAGGTTCAGATCCCAAGAACCTACATGATCACTAGAGATCCACAGCACCACTCACTAGCTGTGACTCCTGTAACTGAGGCAGAAAGAGGTGGTTGTGAAAAACTAGTTCTCAGAGAGTCCAGAGCAAGTCTGAGTCTTTGTGTCACTCTAGGGCAGCAGAGCTGCTGGCATGGAAGTGCACAAGTGATGCTGGCTCCTGTAATACACATCTGCCATGCCCTGATGATGCTGGGTCCAAAGAGTCCCAGACACCTTGCCAGAAGATTCATGATGCTCCCTTCTATCATGGCTGGGAATCTGCCTAACAAACCCATGGAGAGGAGCTGCTCTTAAAGATTATCCAGAAGGGGAGCTGCTTAAGTGGACCTTAAGGGTAGTTCTTCCCTGCAGTGAGGTCTTTTGGGCTGTGAACTGGCATTAAGGCTAATGCTGCCTACCTAAAGAAGGGCAAGTGAGAAAAGGAAGAGAACAGAGCTGAGAGGTTGGCTGGAGTCTCCCACATTCTGTCCTGAGGATAACCACGTCTGTGATGACACCACGCAGAGACGCAGCATCAAAGAGCCCACAGTTTTCCAAGCCCTTCCCTTCTTATAAGCCATACCTTCCTCCTGCTGCTCGCTGTCCAGCAATGCCATTGCCTCCATTTCTTCCTCAGACACCACCTCATCCACGTCCACCACGGTGGAGGTGTGCACCCTGCCATCAGTGCCCACAGTGCTCTTGGTCTCCTTCGCTTTTTCCTGCTTTACGTTTCCCCTTTCTTTGCCACCTTCTCTGCTGCTCTCCCTCTTCTCCCGCTTGCTCTGCGTACCTGGGGACTCCCTACGTTTTCTATGAGACTCCCTGGAAGAGCTCCGAGCCCTCCTATCCATCCTCATGGGTGCCAAGGAGCCCAGAGCTGCCTGTGGGAGCAGAATTTATTGCTGCAGGCAGGGGAGGAGAGAAGGGGAGGTGTCACATCAGGGAGGCTCGGTTCCAGTTCATCAGGGGCTTGTCAGCCGCAATGGACAGCGAAGTGAGCAAGCTGTTTCCAGCCACTCGGCTCTCATCACACCCTGCTGTGGAGATGGGAAGGAAGGTTAGGCCTGGACATGGAGGACCCCAGGAGGACATTCTGTTTGCATCCTGCTTTTGGGAACAAAACACAATCAGCAGCACTCAGATGGTTTTAGTAGGTGGTTTCTGCAAAGCTGTTGAAAAGCAATCAAAAAGTAACTGTCAGGCACGTGGCCCCAAAGACCTCAAATGGTGAGAGTGGCCCAGAATTGACACCAGGGAGAAAAACCTTTGCTGGTGAGCCCAGTGGCTTACTCAGGAGTGTTTGGGGTGGGTGTTGCAGTGAATGTCTGGGTGAACAGCATCTCACACTGCTCTGCTCTCCAGAAGCCCTTTGGAGGGACACTGGCAGCAAACCCCTTCTCTCCAGGATCACCTCACAGTTTAGCAGGGTGGGAAATTAAGTGGTGCAGTTCAGCCATGAACTTTCCTGAAAGGATGCAAAGCATGGTGGCCATTCTTGGGATAGAGCTGTTGAATCTACATTGCCAAAAGAGTTTGTGCCTAAATGCCTTCCTAGTTTTCTACAGAAGGAGCGTGGCAGAGCAAACATAGGAGCCTTCTCTTTTCACGCTGCTGAGCCTACATCTACAGAAATCTCTGGAAGAGGGTTTAAAACATGTTTGAAGTGTTTAAAACACTTCTGAAGTGTTTTAAAGTCACTGACTGTATTAAAGAAACCAGCACCTGGCTAGAAATCATACTACAGGCAAGACACAGCTGGGCAGGGCAGTGCTGAGCTTGGGGATTCCCGGTCTGTAGCATGGAGGAGTAACTGGAGGGAGCCGGGAAGCTGCCTGGGGGTGTGCTGCTCTTGTTTTTTCACAGATTCCTGTTTTATTGGAGACTTGTCAGCCCACGGGGAGCCAGGATATTGCAGGCAGGGAGGGCAGGAGCACCAGCTGCCTGCTTTCTCTGCTCTGACGTACTGGGTGCCTTGTCAGCAGGTCACCAGGGAAGTGGTGGATGGAGAGGGCTAAAGGCAGGAGAAAAGTCAGGTGTAAATGGGGTGTAATTAATAAATTTATGCAGTGTATATACTTTGGAAGTGCTCCAGAAACCTTTTGCACTTGGTGTTTATCACTTGTTTATCCCATGGGAGTGGGGGGGAGATGGCCTCCAGCTGCTGAAAGGGTATGTGGTGTTTTAAGCAGCAGCAGCAGCAAACAGCAGCTCAGGTCTGGTTTTGGATTCCTGTTGGTATCTTGTGAAAAGCACAGTGGCATATTTAACACCTCCAAACCTGCAACTTGCTAGTTTTGTCTTGTGGTTTTATTCCACCAGTGCATCCTGACTCTACCATCCCTGGGGGATGTTTTTGGCTGCTCCCTTGGAACAGGGGGCATGCTCTGGGAGGACATGCTGATGGGTTTGCAACCTTTGCTGTCCCAAAATCTACAACCTCAGCTCCTGTTTTATTCTGAAACGTGTGGAAATTCCTGTGTGGAAATCAGCTGTGCTGCTGAAAGGGTTTCTTAGAAGTCTGTTAGCCCTTAGGAAACAGCCATAGCACCGCACTTCACCACGCTCTGTGGCCTTGGGAAAGTCACTCAGTGTGATTTTTCACTGTGGCACAGGGGACTGAAAAATACAAGACTCCTCTTAATAACAGTGTTTGGGTTTAAATATTATCACTTTGAAGGAACTGGTCCTGTTTTGTGTGTGCCTTTCACAATGTGCCTTTTGCATCTCCACTGTGGATTTTCCTCCCAGATGAGACAAAAAATACAAGACTCCTTACAATACAAAACTCCTCTTACAAGACTCTTCTTAATAACAGTGGGACACTGAGGTGCTGGAATGAGTCCAGTGAAGGGCAGTGGAGCTGGGGAAGGGTCTGGAGCACCAGTCTGATGAGGAGCAGCTGAGGGAGATGGGGGGGCCCAGCCTGGGGAAAAGAAGGCTCAGGGGGGACCTTCTCACTCTCTACAACCACCTGAAAAGAGGTTGTAGCCAGGTAGGGGTTAGTGCTTTCCCCCAGGCAACCAGGGATGGGACAAAGGGACACAGTCCTAAGCTGGGCCAGGGGAGGTTTAGGTTGGACATTAGGAAGAATTTCTTCACAGAAAGGGTGATTAAACATTGGAGCAGGCTGCCCATGGGAGGTAGTGGAGTCGTCATACCTGGAGATGTTTAAGCAGAGACTG